TTCCCCCCGCCGGTCGCCTCCGCTCCATCGCCAAGAAGCAGGTTTTTAAAACATTTACTCCCTTTCTGCAAATTAAATTATAGAATTTAAAAAAAAAAGAAAGATCCAAACTTGGAAAATGGCGAGTGCAGGTGGATTATCTGTTGGGGGACAATCCATTGAGGATGTCGTATATGGTGGGATATGGTCGGAAATATCCGAGGAGGATCCACCACCGGGGTTCGTCACTGCCGTCGGTGACAGCTCATCCGGCGAAGATCCAATGCCGTGAGGGCTTCGCCTTCATGAACTCACAGTCTCCCAACTTCAACGTCCTCGTCGGCGCCGTTGTGGGAGGTCCCGACCTCCACGACCGCTTCCCGGACTACCGGTCCGACTACGAGCAGTCCGAACCCGCCACTTACATCAACGCCCCTCTTGTCGGCGTCCTCTCTTACTTCGCTCACTCCTTCGGCCAGCTTTGACCGCAGCCGCAAACCCAAACGTTATTATGACGACAGTATCAAGAAGTCGTTGATCGACCAAGAAAGATTTAAAGGAATAGTCGCGATTGGTCCGTATGCGTGCTTTGTTCGTTATTTATCGTCTCAAGTACATCGATTGATATGTACTTAAAGAGATGACATCTCCCTTAAGTATAACACTGCAAAAACGTTATAAGAAATTTGCTAGAGAGGATGGATCTTATTGAATACACAAACAACATATCTATCAGAAGATTATTGCGAGTCACAGACATAATCAGAGGCAGACAGTATCTCCGTGAACCGTTTCACATGAAAGCACATAGGATAAGCCATTATCCGGCAACAAGTTCCTCTACACACGCACACGACATGACATGCCATGCCATGACCCCATTTATTACCACTCCCCGTGATTCTACCACCACCACCAACTTCATCATCATCACTCCTCGCTCGACAAAGGAACCGTTTTCACCTGAAGCCACGGAAAAAAAAAAGGGGCCAAAACCACAAGTCGTTAGCGTGAGGATCGAGCATTAGGGTTTAGAGAACAAAATTCACGTGGAGTAATAATAATATACCAAGTCGCGGAACTTGAGAATGTAGAACATCTCAAGATACCGTCGTGTCTCTCGCCTGTCCAGCTTCGATACGTATTTCCAGAATCCATACACTCCGGCTAACGTCATCAGCCTCTCCGAATATATCTTCCATGTATACCTACACCACTTAACCCCATTTTTGTTATTCTGTGTCGGAACGGTTTCGATCATGAGAATATATCGGTTCTTACCTCTCATGAATCCTCTGAAGACCCGAGTCCGAGACTTTTTTCCAGTGGGTTGGATTCTCCTTGCAACGCTCGAAAAAATCGGCCATGAGGTTAGCAGCCTGCTCAGGATGGTATGGATCGATGTGGAAACCCGAGATCCCGTGCTCGATGATCTCTGCAGGGCCACCGTGGCGAGTGGCGAAGGTCGGTAGCCCACAAGTCATAGCCTCCACGACTGTTAGCCCAAAAGCCTCGTAGAAAGCCGGCTGCATATACAAGGAGATTAGAAGAAGAGCCCGTCTCGATATGTTTTTTCCGGGGTGATTTAGAAATGCGTTACCTGAGCGAAAGCGCCTCCAGTGTCGGCTATGTAACGGTAGATCTCACCGTTTCGAGCTCGGTTTGTCTGAGAAATTATCCAGCGGAACTGACCTTCAAGGTTGTATCTTTCCATGAGTTCATGCATTTTCTCGATCTCTGCAATTTCTTCCCTGTCCTTGGACTTGTTCACATCTATGTTACCAGCTATCACGACAAGATTCACCAGCTCCCTCAGCCTCGGATTCTTTCCATACATCTCCACTAGACCTGTAATGTTCTTCACCTTGTCCAACCTCGCCATGGAGAAGAGCAGTGGCTTTGAACGGTCACTCAGAGTACCACTGCATCGGACAAAACCACCAAATCACTCGGACAGAAACCGAACTAGCGTTCGAGATAACACATTCATCTGAATCGTAGATGGATCAAGATCGAGACCGAGAGAGAGAACTCACATGTGCTCATCAGTCTGGTCAGGATTGTAGAGCATCTCTTCAATGGAACCGTGCAAAGCCGTAAGTCTTCTGTGTTTCTCGGAGAACGGGAAGTAAATGCACATGTCTGCTCCTGGAGAGACTATGTTGAACTTCGGATCAAAGACGTCGATTCCATGGACGACCCTGTACAGTCCCGGAAGCGTAAATGCATTGTGGCTTTCGTATTGACCGACGGTATTTTTCCTGGAAAAAAAACCCAGAGTGGAATATCACCACAGTAACAAGTAGCAAGAAATCAGAAATTTCAACATGGATCAAGAATTAAGAGAATACTTACGTTCCGGCTATCTCTTGGTACGTGCTGGTAATGATAAAATCCGCATGGTTCATGGCTACCAGATCGGCCGTGAATTGACACGAGAAGTGATATTTCCCGTCGAAATTTTTCCAGTAAATATCTGAATCCGGGTACTTTGTCTTCTCCAGAGCATGAGCAATGGTGCACTGTTTATATCGGGAAAAAAAAAATCATACACATTACACTCCCATATGTTAGAAAACAGAGAAATTTATCCGAGAAAGGAAAGTACGAAAACTACATAACTTACTTGTGTAACACCCATTTTATGGGCCAACAATGATGCAACAAGGTTTCCGTCACTGTAATTTCCGATAATGAAATCGGGTAATCCTTGCAATTCGCCAATAATCTCGCTCGCTGAATCCTGCACGCGTATGATACGATGAAACGGTAAATATGATCGTCGAAGGAGGAAAGAAAACCTCCGAATCCTATTCATACAGTGTGTATACCTGAGCAAAGTTCTCAAGATAAGGCCAGACATCGAATCTTGAAATCCATTTGCGAAGAATTCCTTTATCGGACCTAAAAGGAACTCGGAGAATGTTGGTGTGTTCTGTTCCGCTGACTCTCTCCAGCCGCTGGTTGCAAGTTGTCCCTTTTGCATCGGGTATCAACCTCGTAACCTTTCGTAAAGAGCGAAAAAAAACGGGTTCCATAAACACGATATAGGCTGGCGAAAAACATTAAGGGTAATAACAAACGGAAAATAAACTTACGATAAGAATCCTCGGAGATATATCCAGTCCTTGTCTCTTGATTCTCAAAAGCATTTCAGTCTCGAGGGCTCGGACTTGGTCAAGAATATAGACGACCTACACGTTAATCAGTAACTCATTTTCAAGATCTCTCAAGGAACAAAGTCATCAAATCTAATCAAATCAATAGATTTCAGCTGCTGAAGAAAGATTTATGGGCATTACCTGCCCACCAGTGTCAGGCAATCCTAAAACATTCGCTTGCCCGAAATATCCATGGGGCGACAAAATCACGACATTGAATACCATCGGTACCATCCCCAAAAATTTCTCGAGGGACGAAGGATCGGGAGCTTGAAGAATATCAGACAAAAGATACGTCATCTCGAGCACACGAGCCGCAGTGTCGCCCCATCCTCTTTCAATACCCATTCCTTGCAGCCTATTCCCGAAAAAAAAAACCCGGAAACTTTGAAGAACTGAGAGAATAACTCTGCTTCCACCAATGTTACATGAATCCGAAACATGAAAGAACACGAAAACAGATGTAATAGATAGCTTACGCATATTCGAATTCTGAAAAGGGTGTTTCTGGTGGAAGCTTAGAGATGTGATCTTCTGCCTTGCTGAGGGAAGACTGAAGCCGGGAAATGCTTTGGATCCGGTCATTCAACATCAATGGCTGCAAATCCAGATTAATGGGGTACTCTTAAAAATCGAAACTTTGAGTCTCCATCCGAACTTCATCCTAATATCAAATCTGAAAATTCAAGAATCACTTACATGACCCTTGTATTTGTGGGCTCGAAGGAAATCCAAAAGAGGCTCCAGACAGTCTTTGTTACGGAACATGATGGAAGACAAGTGACGATTCAGAAACTGAACTCCGTTACCGATAGACGAAGAACGCGTTGGGCGAGGAACGTTCGCATTGAAGGGTTCGAAATCGAGCTCGAGCAGAAAAGGATCCTCAACCCTTAGACATTCATCCACAAAAATTCAAATCTTATGAGTTCTTTCACGCGTAAGATCCATAAAAAAAAATCTCATCTTTATGTTGATGATAGTGAAGGAATTTGCTTACTCTCCATCAACGAGTTCTTCCTTGAAACGAAGATATTCAGAAACCGTTAATTGCTCCACGCTAAGCTCGAAGACGTTAACACGAACGTATTCCCAAATTCCAGGTCTCGGCCTAACAGCTATGGCCACGAATGGCGGCACGATGATGGCTTCCTGCACAAAATTAGACCCGATACCTAACGTTTTCCACTGTCTGAATACAGTTGACAGTAAACCCATACGAAGAAGAACTACAAGAACTCAGGCTAATGAGACTGAGTGCAAAAAAACTTTGAAAAATTTCGAAATTCACCATGGCCGACTTGAGGATTTCGCCAAAGGGACCGTCGGAGAGTCCCTTCTTCGCTTCATCATCTCCGATCACGAACTCGAGCTCATCGATCAAGTTATGCGGTTGCAAAATCCCTTTCCCCTGATCCATATACCTTCAATTGTCCCGCCAAAACACAGACGCGAACCCAAACCCAAACAAACAATCAGCAACCCGAGTCGAAATTTTCTCGGGAAACAAACAGAAACAGCATCGCGACTTCTCGTAATCCCGGAAAAAGGGTCAAAAGAAACCGATGGAAGAACGGAGAAGGAAATAGGACCAAACCTGGAGAGAAGGGCGACGAGCTCGTTGCGGTGAGCGGAGAGCGTGTCCTCGACGCGCTCTCTCATGCTCGGAATTCGAGTAAGCTTAGGATTCGACATGGTTATCGAACAATCAATCGAGCCAAAAGCTTCAAACTTTACCACGAAGGGTCCGTGAACAAAACGAAAACCAATTTATAGAACACAAAAAGGAAGAAAGGGAACAATGATTACGAAAGAGAGAGAAGAATTCGCGACTTTGATTACGATGGCGGAGTGTTCTACAGTGACCGAAAGCGACGGTTTTTGTGCAAGAGGGAATGGTTTTTGTGCAAGAGGGAATGCAAGTGTATGTATCTGTGTGTATATTCAAATCAGTGGACGCGACGGTGTCGGATGCTAAGGAAGCGGTTTATCCGGAAAACAGAGGAAGACGACAACTACGGTTTTATGGCGACACGCTCTGTTTCCATGCCACGTTGCTCCAAAAATATCTTCTCTTTTTCATGGTAGGGTTGGTTTGCGTGTCAGTATGGTCTACTTCAGTAGAGATATTATAAAATAATAAAATGACGTAATCTTCAGAAAAATGGCATCTTTATATATATATATATATATATTATATTCACATGTATAACAATCCGATGATTGTGAACCCTTAGGCATCAAAACCGAATTTAAACCCCTTTAATTGAAATGTGCTTAAATGGGCATGGCTCTTGATATTAATTTCCGCAAAACAAGATGTATCACGAAAATGTCTGATTTTATAAAAGAATCTTACCAAAATTAGCTCATCTACGACACCTATATATGTATAAACGCCATAAGTAATTGATGAACAATTCAATCGGATTTCCTTCTCATCGATAGTAAAAAAAAATTAGTAAATAGAAAAATAAATAAATAAATCACCATGGCTAGCGCAAGAAGCTTGGTCGCCAAGGCAAGTAATGTAGGTTTAGCGGCTGTAGTAATAGCTTTGGTGTTAGAGTGCTCTTGTGTGGCCAATGGTGAATTCCCCGGCGGCCGCCGTGCCCTCTCCGCTTCCGGTGACCCTACCGTTTTCGACATTACTCAGTACGGCGCAAAGGGTGATGGCTCCACCGACAGTTTCAAGGTCAGTGGTGATTCATAATCTTTTTGTAATGTGAACTGTTAGGTCACGACCCTTGTTCTGTTCTGCCCGATGGGTGTCGGTTATTCACCAAAGATCCATCTTGTCTGGACAGGCATTTTTGAGTGCATGGATCCAGGTTTGCGAAAGCTCGGTCCCTGCCAAGCTGGTGGTTCCAAAGGGAACCTTTCTGACAGGACCGACGGTGTTCGCCGGACCATGCAAGAGCCAAGTGACGGTGGAAGTTCAAGGAACGGTCAAAGCCACGCCGGGAGTGGCCGGGTACGCGACACCTGAGTGGATCTTGTTCGAGCGTGTGGACAACCTCGTACTGAACGGAGGCGGAACCTTCGACGGCCAGGGAGAGATCGCTTGGAGGGACCACGCTTGCAAAAAGCGTGGCAATTGCAAGCTCCCACCTACGGTGAGAGTCCGTCCCCATCCAAGATTCTGGTCAAGTGATTGATCAGTTTTTTAATAACGCCATGCAATTTGATAATATATATGCATGTTTTTTGGGATATATATACAGTCGATAAAGTTCAGGCGGATGAACAATACGGAGGTGCATCATATAACGTCGGTGAACAGCAAGGCGTTCCACATGTTCCTCGTTAAGACGATCAACACTACCATCCACAACGTCAACTTAATAGCGCCCGACACGAGCCCTAACACCGACGGGATCCACCTCAGCAACGCCGACTTCGTCAAGATCCTCGACAGCAATATCGGGACCGGAGACGACTGTGTGTCCGTCGGCCGAGGCTCGAACAACGTCACTGTAGAACGCGTGATCTGCGGTCCAGGACACGGTTTCAGTATCGGCAGCCTCGGCAAGTACAAGGGCGAGGAAGACGTCACTGGAGTCACCATAAGAAACTGCACGATGAACAACACCGACAATGGCGCGAGGATCAAGACATGGGGAGGTTCCGACGCGAGCAAGGCCAGTGATATTGTCTTCGAGGACATCATCATGAACAATGTCAAGAACCCCATCATCATCGATCAAGAATACGGCACGAGAGGAGGGGTACGTAAGCATGCATGCATGCATGCATATGGGTACGTAGTTTAGTTTACGTGTGATTATAGAAATGATATTGAACACGTACGGCCGGGTTATCTTTTAATGTGCAGGCATCGAGAGTGGAGATAAGCAATGTGAAATTCAAGAACATAAGAGGGACAACGATCACGAAGGAGGTGGTTCAGTTCGTGTGCAGTTCGCTTGTTCCATGCAAAGAGATAAAGGTCGTGGACGTGAACCTCGCCTACACAGGGAAGCCCTTAGGGCGCAAGGCCGGTGGCTCCATCGTCGGAGCTATATGCAACCATGCCGATATCATCTTCGGTGGCCGACTTAACTTCCCCTTGTGTCCCGCATGACCCAAAACTACACTTGATTAGTGGGTAATTAACATGTATAATTAATTAATTACACGAGAGGGTTTCTTAATTATTGGGGATTGTGATGGTTTAGATGAGGACGATTAGGTTGTTTTTGTCATCAACCTATTTGCGGGTGGGAAGTGTAAGAGTGTACATACACCTTCCCCCCTTCCTTATGCCTCCTCAAATTTGCCTTAACCTTGTATCCATGATCTTTGATTGTTAAATGAAATGTTTTCTTCTTCTTCTTTCATATACGCTGTATTCAAATGGAAAATGATAACAAGGGCTAGAACAAAAAATCCATCCTGCAATAAAAATTTTGAAAATATAAAAATAAAACTATAAAAATTTTATTATTGGAGATATTATTTTATTATTTCTAAGTGTGTTTTCTTTCTTTACCAACAAAGTATGCTTTCTTTATTTTATTTAAATAGAATACAAAATAAAATTTTAAAACTTTGGAAAAAATAGTACGGACAAGGTAATGATAATGTATGAAATTGCAAAGTAATACATTCATTATTACGTTAATCTCTTAAAAAAAAGTAATACATTTATTATCCAAATATAAATAATTGTTGATAAAGTATACTATTTTACTTTTCACCAAGAAAAATTTGCGTATTTTATATTTCATCTCGCTCGTCTAATATTTTAATCTCTTAGAACAACTGTATGCAATTAATTAATATAATACGTACATTTATATATATAACCGTAAAATTCGAAAACAATACACGACCTTTATATCCTGTTTCGGGAATTACTTGACATAACAACTTTCAAAATTTTATCCCCATCGAAAATTTTGAAATTTCAGTTACAATTTATATTCTGTATAAAAAAAATTTAACCATTAAATAAAATCGAAAAGGAAAAAATTTGCATTAAATATATAAACAAATCAAATCATGGAGTCAAAATGATGTTGATGAGAAGAGCGTTCTTGACGAGCTTCGACAAGTTGGTGTTGCGGCGCTCGAGCTCCTCGTCGTGGCCGTCGCGCTCGCTCAACGCGCTCTCGCACGTCTCGACGTCGCTGATGGCCGTGTTCAGCCATATGTCGGCGTCCGTGTACTGGTACGCGAGCAGAGCCGCGAGCGAGTCGTCGAGCTGAGCCACCGCGTCCAGGTAGCTCGTCGAGCAGTCATCGAGCGTGTCCTCCAGGGCTGGCTCCAGGTTCTTGGTCTTCAGCTTCGCCTTTATGTACGCCGACGTGTCAGATGCGTTCGCCGACGCGATGCTCAACGCGATCACGCCCAGCTCGGGCGCGGTCGCGGTGTCCGCGTCTGGCCGCGATCCGAGGCTGGATACGCAGAACGCTTTGTCCTCCGACTTCTCGCAGAGCTTCGCGACCAGTGCTTCGCCTTTCTCCGCGAACTTCGGCGGCGGGGGCTTGGCGGTCACGGCCGCGACGAGGAGGACGGCCGAGAATATGATCCCTACCACCGTTTTCATCTTTTTTTTTTTTCGGAAATATATGTTTTTTTTTCTTCTAAAGATCGGTATAGAGATGGTATATTGTGTTGTTAAAGAGAATATTTATACGATAAATAGGTTAAATAAAGAGGTTGTTAATGTCTAAATTTAGGCCACCTTGTGACGTGGTACGTGAATAATTCGTGTTTCGAGAGTGATATACGGGAATTTCACCAAATAAAAAATAGTTCATGCAAGTCGGTGAATATTTCTCTTTCTATTTTTCTTTTTACTATTTTTTTTTTATTTTCATTAAGATTATAGTATATAATAAATGGGCCGAAAATGGGCTTATTAAGTGGCCCATTGAATTGAAGCCCAAGTAATAATGATTGGATCTTATTCCAAGGGTGAACCCTAGAAGAGGAGTGGTTTAACTGGTTGTATGACGGTGTTCATGAATCATTTTTCTTGATCGCTTCTCTCTCTGCCATATCTGTCTCCAGAGGGTTGGGGGAAAATGGTTTCGCTCAAACTCCAGAAGCGGCTCGCGGCGAGCGTGCTCAAGTGCGGGAAGGGCAAAGTATGGCTCGATCCCAACGAAGTCAGCGAGATCTCCATGGCGAATTCTCGTACGTTGTTCTTCGTCCCGTGTTCTGTGTTGCATTTTTTTGCTAGAATTAAGTTTGCTTTTCTGCTTGTATGGTCCATACTGGATAAATTCTAGCTTAATTCGTTAGTATTTTGAATGATTAGGTTCTTGCCTGTTGTGATGTGTGGATGTGTTACTGTCAGTATTTCGCTCGAGGGTTTTAGAACTTTTACCGAGAATATATGTTTTGTTTAAGCTCCAGGGTTTTAGATTGTGCTTTATATGCGATTGTAAAAGAATCAACATGCCCGGCCTTATTGCTGCTGATCTTGTCTTCCGCTGTCTACGATTTTGTGTATAATCCTCCATTTTGAAGCATCTATATTCATCTGAAGATTAATGTTAGCTCGTTTTTTTATCTAACTTTCTAGCTTCTTTTTTTTTGTGTGTTTTTGTTAATCAAATTGTAGGCCAAAATATCAGGAAACTGGTCAAGGATGGGTTTATCATCAGGAAGCCTACCAAGATCCACTCGCGTTCCCGAGCACGCCGTATGAAGGAGGCCAAAAGAAAGGGACGCCATTCTGGATACGGTACTAAACAATCTTTCTAGTGATTTCATTCCTCATTTCTATTCAACGGGCTCCTCAGGAAATGTGTTTTGTTTCCAACGAGCTATAACAATGAAATTCAGAGTAATAGTTAGGTTAGGTTGGGGAATTGGCTGATCCTTAGTTCAACCCCCTTCATCTTGCGCTCATTTTGTGTCTTTGAATACTTGATTGTGATTCTAAGGTAAGCGCAAGGGAACCCGGGAGGCAAGGCTGCCTACGAAGATATTATGGATGAGGAGAATGCGGGTTCTGAGGCGTCTTCTGAGGAAATACAGGGAGGCCAAGAAGATTGACAAGCACATGTACCACGACATGTACATGAAGGTGAAGGGTAACGTCTTCAAAAACAAGCGTGTCCTGATGGAAAGTATCCACAAGTCGAAGGCTGAGAAGGCGAGAGAGAAGACTTTGTCCGACCAGTTCGAGGCTAAGAGGGCCAAGAACAAGGCTAGCCGAGAGAGGAAGATTGCCCGGAGGGAGGAACGTCTAGCCAAGGTAACATCTTTGATCCTTGGTTCAGGAATCCACATTTAGGGGACTTATGGTAATGGACAATATATCTTTCTTATAACTGGTTCTGGTTTACTTTCAGGGTCCAGGGGGAGATGTGCCACTGCCAACTAGTGCACCACCTGCCACCGCTGCCCAAACCACAGAGTGAGTAGTGATCATAGAAGTTGACCGGACCAGACTTATTGCGTAACGTTAGTTAAAACATTCATTGGGTTTTGCAGGGTATCATCCAAAAAGTCCAAGAAGTGAGGAGATGTATCTAGAAGCCGAAGACCAGCTTATGGCCTCTACCAGTTGACAGGTTTTGCCATTTGGGATGCTTTATGAAATAGCTTTGTGCGAACAAAACACTTTTACTGTGTAAAGAGGAAGCTTGTCAGCAATCTCACTATGAAATCTCTCAAAGGACATATAATCAATGTCTTTTTCCTTACTTTGTCGGAAGTTTTTCTCTTCCCTGCGTAGTTCTTACTACTGAAACAGAGACCAAGCGCCAACATATGGTGCAAGGGAGGTCGAGTTTTGTCTGATTGTAGAGTTGCGGGCGTGTGAAATTGAAAAAGAAAAACCATGATTAATAAAAAGTAAGGGTTTTAAAGCACGAATTGTAAAACTTAATTCGTAAAACTTGCAAAGACTAAGATGTTGAATGGGAAGAGGTTTTTGAAGTTTTTGGATTTTAAAAATTGAAAAAACCGATTTAGATTTACAAAGTTTGTAAATCTAAAAACCAAAAAACAAAGTCATCACAATAAAAACAGTCTCACAGTAAAATATCAGACTAAAATTTTGAAAATCTAACTAATTTAATTTAAAAATAATTGTCGCCCACCGTGGGGTTCGAACCCACGACCACAAGGTTAAGAGCCTTGCGCTCTACCAACTGAGCTAGACGGGCCTTTTTAAATGATTGGAGACAAAACATTCACTAAAAAGAGTATAAAATAAATTTTAAACTTTTTAACATAAGCCCAAGCCCATAGAAAAGCCGAGTCAACCCTCTGATTGGATCATGGCGTTGCGATAAGCGTAACCTTACGGAGCGTGGGGACTCTAACCCTATCCTGGAAATCCTTATCCCCAGAATTCTCCCGACCTGGAATTCCCGCTCAGTGTCATCTTTAGCTATTCAAAGGTTTGTTTTTCATCTCCCGTTTTCAATATCTGCTTTCCGAGCTGTTGAACTGAAAGATTTGGTCAATTTGGTCTAGGTTTTCGAGCTCCGTACGATAGTCTACGTCCGATGAAATTTGATCCTGATCCTGTCTTAACCTGGAAAGATACAGAAAAGCTCTCGAATCTCTCAGCAAAATCTCTCGGACGTCCTTTGTGTTGGTTGCTAGATTTGTCTTGTGATTTGTCCGAATTTTTACGGATTTTTAGTGTTATTACGCCATCAAAAGATGAGTTTGTAGTACTAAGGATATCTAACTGCACTGAGGAATGTTCACAATTACAAGAGTGGTTGTGAATGAATGTTTTTCTTTGGATTTAGGTGTAAATAAAATGTTGGTTTTGTACGCTTTCATGAGTACATATATATATATATTGCTTTGTTGAATGATGGTGTTGTTGATAGATTACACCATATTAGAAGGAAGCATGGATACACATAGGAATGGCGGCAGCGAACGCTTGAGGACTGTGTGGACGCCGGAAATGGATCGGTATTTCATCGATCTGATGTTGGAACAAGTTAAGAAAGGCAATAGATTTGATGATCACTTGTTCAGCAAACGGGCCTGGAAGAGCATGTCTTTGTCATTCACCGCAAAGTTCAAGTCCCCTTATGGCAAAGACGTCTTGAAAAACCGTCACAAGACCCTCAGAAACATGTATAAGATGGTGAAGATTCTCTTGGAGCAAGATGGGTTTTGCTGGGATGAAAGAAAACAGATGGTGGTCGCTGATAACGATCTTTGGGACGAATATCTCAAGGTACAGTTTGTTACTGAATAGTTCAAGAAATGTTCTTACCGTTGTAAATTTTCGTTTCTTAATCTTGGTTATGGATGGCAGGTTCACCCGGATGTGCGTTCTTTAAGAATAAAGTCGGTACCTTATTACAGAGACTTGTGTTTGATATATGCCGATGGAATGTCTGAGCAGAAGGGTAGTAAGTCTTTACATTCTGTTCTGTTGTGATCTTGGTTCTGTCATCATGCTGGTTTTGTTCGCCATGAACTGATGAGATGTATAACATGTTAGGGTTTTCTCCACACCGTTGCCAAGGTACAACAATGGCTTCACCAGAGGAAGAAACTTCTACGGAAACTCTGATTCAGGGAGGTGAAGGTTACAGAGTTTGTGGATCAGCTGCCATTGATGATTCTTCACACCTCGTCTCTAATGCTAAGGGAACTACACGCTCCAGAACATCTTGGCACCCTCCAATGGATCGTTATTTCATCGATCTGATGCTGGACCAAGTGAGAAGAGGCAACCAGATTGAAGGGGTCTTCCGGAAACAAGCATGGACCGAGATGGTCAATTCGTTCAATGCTAAATTTGAATCGAACTATGACGTTGACGTTCTGAAGAATCGGTACAAGACTCTCAGAAGACAGTATAACGCAATCAAGAGTCTTCTTCAATCAGATGGGTTCTCTTGGGATGATTGTCGCCAGATGGTTACAGCAGATGATTCTCTCTGGCAAGAGTATATAAAGGTTACGCCCATCATAAATCATAAATCATAAATCTTGTATAAAGACAGCCACTTATTTTTGGTTACAGTTTGTGTCTGAGATTGTAAAAGCTTGTTTCAGGTTCACAAAGATGCAAGGCAGTTCATGACTCGACCAATTCCGTACTACAAAGATCTCTGTCTTCTCTGTGGTGAAGCAGGCTTTGACGAAAACGACTGCCTTGTCGCCATTGACTGGTTCGATCCTGAGACCGAACTCGAAGAACCCAAATCCCATGAAACCTCAAACGGGTCTCAGTCACAAGAACCAGCTATATCAGCTGAAGAAGGCAACATCTCTCTGTTGCTCGATCTGAAGAACAAGAGAGAGCAACTCGACGATGGCATAAACCCTAAAAACCCGAAGAAGCAACGCAGAGATGAATTGGGAACTGCAGGTTCATCTTGTACGACGATAGAGAATGCAGTAATGGCCGTTCAAGCTTTACCAGACATGGACGAAGATCTTATACTCGACGCATGTGATCTTCTCGAGGATGAAGTCAAGGCAAAAACTTTCTTGGCTCTTGATGCCAAACTAAGAAAGAAATGGTTGTTAAGGAAACTTAGGCCCCAAGCAACCTAGATCAAGAGCTTCAGACTCAAGTAACTGTAAAATGCAGAGCCTTGCAATATAAACAGAAGAGCTTTCACCTTGTATTAATCAAGTTCAAGTGTAAGAGTTATACATATAATAACTTATATATATTTTCTTACTCAGAATTCATCATCAACGAACATGGTAGATGACAATAATCCCTGCACAAACTCACACCTCTTTGTCCGCTCCATCTGGTCAGTATCTGACAAGGGAGACGACCACTTCCTGTCTCTGCATGTACAAGAAGCAACATTTCAATTTTCGAGCAAAACATATCTAACATTTGCAGAAACTAATGGCAGAGACAGAACTGAGTTGTGAAAAAAAAACTTACTTTTTTGATGAATCCTTATCAAGGCTCTTACTTTCGGGGTTTGCTTCAGTTGATGAATCAGGCTGCACAAGCTTTGGCTCATCGGGTAATGGCGGGTTGTAGATAAACGATATTAACGAGTCAGGAACACTTTTAGCAGCATTACTTGTCGGTGGAGAATCCTCGAGAAGAGATTGCAAATACTTATTCTTCCTTTGATACGACTCATCCCTGTAGAATCTGTGTCTTTGTTCACTGTGAAAGCGCGTTAAGGAATTTCACCTCGAGAGACTTAAGATCAAACAGCAACATAAACAAAAAAATGTGAACAGAGCGCATTTTCAAAAGGGTGCTAAAGCAATGAAAAAGAAAGGATATCTTCAATATGTTTTTATGCTGAGCGATTATGTGGTCTACCATATTCATCTTCACCCATCTAGCACAAAGGGGGCAAATCTGCAACGATCATCGAAACAATTTATGGAAAATAGACAATGGTTTAACAGAGTGGATATATGGATGAAACACACAAGGGAAGAAGGACTATATGCTATCTCCACAATGGTGGCAAAAGCAAAAGGGAAGATCATATAAGGATGAAATGGAAAAGAAGGCGAAAACCGCTAAACCGGAAGAACAAAACTGATATACACAGGCTTCTAACCACAAAGTTACCTAAGAAAGTGAAACGAGAACTCAAAAGTAAATAAGATTCATATGAAAGCAACAACAAGGTGAGACTAAGCTCGACAAATATAGATCTGAAAGGGAAAACTACACACTTATAAAACATGTCCCTACACAGAGGAGCCAAGTTACAAGATTTCATACAATGCCATAACAACTATGCATCGACATATTTCCCAGAACAAAAGTGTATAATTTCAGTAAATCACATCTGTGAAATTACAAAACGTGTTATTAACTCGTAGAGCATCAAAGCTTCCTACTTCCACCTTCCATACATATAATCGTTCGGATCACTAATAGTACGCACCTACAGCCCTAGAAGAAGAGAAGATAACCAAATAAAAGGGCCTAAACAAGAAGCAATTGCCTCATGTGAAGCAAGACAAGAGAATCACATACCCCATGATCGGCTTCCAGGCTATGTTCCTCGTCGATGTGTTGACACAATTCAACTAAATCATAATCCTCCTCGCAAAACGGACAAGGGTAGTCAACTGCCATCTCATCACCCCCTTCCATATCTTCCAATGCAATACAAGAACCTAAATTTCAGCATCATAAAGTTCCTTATTAGTACGACAGAAAATTCCCCAAAAGAAAAAAAGAAGAGAAAAACCAGGCGAACCCAAAAAAAAGAAGAGAAGAAAACCTAAGAAGACAGATGATTTTAAGAATCAAGACAAAACCAAAAGCAAAAGTTGAAGACTTTCCATCAACAACAAGCACCCAAAAGACCCTAAGAACCAAAGAGAATCTTCAACCAAAACACAGTAAGAAAAGAATATCAGATTATAAAATTCAAGTCAGAGCAAAACCCAAGTGAGACCCATCTTCAATTCGCAAACCCTAAAAAACCATATTTTTTTCCTGAATCAAACTAAAAAAGGAGTAATTTTGGCCCTAACCAGACGGATACTTGGGCGTTGGCGTTGATCGATGGTTCCTCGCCGATGCAGAAGAAAAACAAAAGCTCCACTTGTCGTCTTCCATCTGAATCTACCAAACTGCACAACCCAGAGAAAAAAGTACAGAAATTTTCTTCTGTGTAAACTTCTAATCGATATCGTCTCACAGGCTTTGTTTCATCCGTTGAGCTAATTTCCTTCGCAGCCTTCGTGAGAGAGGTTTTTTCCTTGGAGGAGACAAATCAACACGAACCCTTTGGGATATATAATAAAAAAAAATGACGGAAACATCCCTGGTCATGGTCGTGAACCACCGACGTCTGTTGACTTAGTCCACGTGGAGATATCGGCGAAGGCAAAGGGTGTTCCTGTCTTTTCCCGGCTTTCGTTTTGCGTATGCGTCCGCTCCACAGCCTTTGGGTCTAACCTGGTGATGTATTTTGTCATCGTGCAAAAACCAAAGTTACGTCCCTAAATTATAATTTGTACAAAGATCTGGGGCCAATATGAAATATACATTCGTGGCCTGAATCGAAACAGATACTGGGCCTAATCAGGCCCAAATTCTGAGCCCAATTGCTTTTTATTTGGTTGTTGGCTTTCATTTCTCAATTCGTGCGAAAATTCTTCGCTTTTGCTGTCAGAGTTCCTGAGATCTGTACACGGAGCGGATCTTGTTCTACAAATTTCCCAATTTTCTGGGAAAATTCTGTATTTTCCTCCTGAATTCGATTATTCTGAGGTCTGTTTTCGAGATGGCGACGAGGAATCGGACGGCGATATACCGGAAACACCGAGATGCGTGTAAGAGCGCGCGTGCTCCTTTGTCTTTGTCGGCGTCTGATTCTTCCACCGGTCCGATCATTGAGATGGTCAATGGTTCGTTTCTCCGGTCCAATGGCTCTTCATATGCTCCTCTCAGCACTGATGATCCTGGTCCCTCGAGGTATGATGTCCCTTTTTTCATTCTGGGGTTTTTCTTCCTGTTTCCGTATGAATCTACTGTCTGGTTTATGTGAAAAGCTGAGGGAGCTCGTGGGGGAATAGGAAAGGAGAAGAATTCTGGGTTTTATCGTTAGCGAGCTCGGGTTAAGTACTTTTTATCCACAGATTCTAGCTATGAGTAAAACCCTAAGCAGATCATGTGAATGAAGGAGCAATGCCAGTGATGGGAGATTCATGCAACTGAGTATCTGATTTTCTGATTTCGCTTTCAGCATACTGTCCGATTGATGCTAGAATCTTACTTTTGTTGTTGGGTGTTTGAATTTTTGCAGTAGTGATGCATTTACCATTGGTCTACCGCCAGCTTGGGTGGATGATTCTGAGGAGATATCTGTGAATGTACAGCAGGTGCGAGCCAAAATGGCTGTACTGGCAAAGGCTCATTCCAAGGCTCTGATGCCTACATTTGGAGATAGCAAACAAGATCAACGTGCAGTGGAGATGCTCTCTCACGAAATCACAGATCTGTTAAGGAGGTCAGAAATGAGATTGCGGAAACTATCTACGGGTGGACCTTCAGAGGAATCGAATCTCAGGAAAAATGTTCAGGTTGGATTGAATTTCTTGTTGAAGAATAAGGTCGTGTTACCGTCCTTTTTAGTATGCCATTAGAAAAGCAAGTGTCCCCCATTTGAGAATATCTTGATTACCATCTGGATCTGGGTGACATTATCAGCGAGAAAATTCTGTAAAGTTGACAGAACACAGTTTAAGGTTTTGCCTTTTAAATGTAGCGGAATTCTTCAATGGCTTGACCTACTCTTCAACATACTGTTTTTGACAGCGTTCTCTTGCAACAGATCTTCAGAACCTCTCAATGGAGCTACGTAGAAAACAATCTACCTATCTGAAACGCCTACAGCAGCAGAAAGAGGTAACCTTTACCCTTTTTACTTAAGAAAGAAAAAAGATATAAATCTGAGACATGCATGGACCTAAACATGGATGAACTCTATGCTTCGTAAACTTTAATTTGGCTTCTTCTGTCACAGGGTCAAGATGGAGTCGATCTGGAGATCAACCTGAATGGGAAGATGCCAAAGCTGGACGAAGATGATGAACTTGGTGGGATGGTAAGTTCTTAATTTTCCGTTTTTCCTCTTTCCATTGATGCTTTGTGTTTATCGTCATTCAGAAATAGTCTGGAACTTTTGAAATACTTGCTGTGGTTATCAAGATATAATCAACCCACTTGTGAATACGATCACTGTCATGTATCATGATGTTTAGGTGCCTCAGTTTCTTACCATTATGATAATTACTTATCTCGACAAATGTAGGGTTTTGATGAACACCAGATGACCAAGAGGAAGACGGGCCAGCATTTCTCGGCTGA